CGGGCTGGGAAGGGGAGGCCCCGTGTTGCGCTTGAGGTGCTGCGGGGCGCGGGGTTACTTGGGCTGTGTGGACCGTCAGGGGGAGGGGGAAGCACTCGAACGGCACAGCGGCTCTGCTGCAACCTTACTCTGGGGTGTTGTAAGTTGGGCTCTTGTCTCCCTGAGGCCGTTCGAAGGTTGCCTGGTTGTCGTGCTGGTTACCTGAGCTGGGCACCGGCCCCGCTGCCCGGCTGAGTACCAGCACGCTGGTGAATGCTGTCGTGTGGTGCTCGCTGCCTGAGGAAAAAAGGCTGAGGCCACCTGGTCTTGGAAGTAAAAAAAAAAAAGGAATTATGCCTTCTGAGCGCTATCAGCCGGGGCTAGATGAGAGATTTGGGGATCTTTATCAGTGTGTGTGTATAATTACGTAGAGGTAGGGTGCAAAGACGATGGAGCCTCTGTCTCTTCAGTGGTGCCTAGTGCCAGGACAGGAGGCCATGGGCACAGACTGCGACCCAGGGGGTCCTTCTGGACATTCAGAAGTGCCAGATGTGGCGTCAGGATGCCTGACTGTGGGCACAGGTTGTCCTGAGAGGCTGTAGAGTCTTGGAAACACTCAGAAGCCACCTGGACATGGTCCTGGGTAATGGGCTCCAGGTGGTCCTGCTTGAGCAAGGGTTGAACCAGATAACCACCCGTGGTCCCTTCCAGACTCAGCTGTTCTGTGTTGGGAAGCTCTTAAGTCAGTGAAACTGTAGTGCACATTAAATTGCCAGTACTATAAAGAAGAGTAACTTGCTATTTGTAACATCCATTATATCAAGCACAGAACTGGTTGATACATTCTGAAGAAACACAACTGCTTTGCTACACAGTTCTAACTTTACATTAATACAAGTTGAATGAATTTTTTACAGTAAAACAGAGCAGCAGAAGTTTTGGGGTATTATTCCCATACTTCTGCGTATTTCCAAACTGTAATCCAGGTGCATGCCACAGACTATGTAACAGGTGCAGTTAGAATTCCAGTGAGACAGTTTGTCATTCATCCAGCAAATTGTGGTTTTCATGACTTCCATTTTGTGCTGTGAAGTCTGGGTGAATTCTGGATGAAATGACTGAAATAGTTGATAAAATTGAAGACAGCTATTATCTTGAAAAAAAAAATACTGCACAGATAATGAAATAAGGATTACTTCAGGACAGGACTTCTATAATTGATTTAAAAATACTGTTCCAATGCTCTTTAATTTTGTGGTTGGGGGGCTTTTTGTTGTTGTTTGAAGAGAGAAACTTCCAGTGATCTTCTAAAAAAAACCCAACAAAACAAAACCAAGCCAAAACCAAGTCATACAAGATTTGTGTACTACAGCTACTGAAAGGTGCTTCTTGCCTTCTAGTCAGAACTGGTGAGGCCACACTGGAGTGCTGCATCCAGTTCTGAGCTCCTCAGCACAAGAGAGACGTGGACATACTGGAGAGCCCAGGGAACAGCTACTAAGATGGTGAAGGGCCTGGAGCATCCCTCCTATGAGGAGAGGCTGAGAGAACTGGGAGTCTTCAGCCTGGTGGAGAGAATGCTCAGGTAATCTTATCAATGTGTAAAAAATACCTGAAGAAAGAGGGTAAAGAACACAGCCAGGCTTTTTGCCTGTTGAACAGGGATGTGAGGAGTGGCATGAACACAAACTGAAGCACAAAAAGTTCCCTCTGAAGATCAAGAAGCACTTTCTTAATGCGAGGGTGACAGCATCGGCACAGTGCTGTTACCCAGGGAAGCTAGAGAGTCTCCATCCTTGGAGGAACTTGAAAGCTGACTTACAATGGTCCTGGGCAGCCTGCCTTAGGTGACCCTACTTGTGCAGTGGGGTTGGACCAAGTGACCTCCAGAGGTCACTTCCAACTTCAAGCATGCTGTGATTTTGTGAAACTGGTATTCATACTGAAGATGAGGCCTACTGTTAAGTTACAATGAAACTTGTATTTTTTTTTTTTATATTAGAAGAAAGAAGTTTTTAAGGTGTTGTAGGGAGACTTAAAGGACTGTGGCACTAGTAGGTTTATTGGAACAGGGAAAACCCCCTTAAGAATTAAATAGTGATTTCTTATTATAAATTATGTCTTATTTATATTGGTTATCATAATTCTTTTCTAAAAAGAGGCTCTTCTTCCAAATGTAGGGTTTTCAGAAGCTGAAGAGCAAAACCTGGCATCTCTACTTCTGCACTGTGCACAGCTGAGCAATGGCATCCAGCAGATCCAATGTATTAAACAAGTAAGACTTCAGTGTTATTGGTGTAGGTTTTGGTAACTGAAAGTGTGTCATGTGCATTATTAATGGGAAATACAATTCTCAAATGAGCTTCATAGTTTTTTAAACGTTCCTGGAAACAGGTAAAAAGCAGTTGTTTTATAGTTCTGATACTTAAATTAGCAAGGGCTACAGTTATTGAAAATTATGGAAGGCAAATGATAACAAGTTTCTTACTGTGCATGTATATATTTTTGGTATTAGGGGTGTTCTTGAAACATCATTCAACACCTGAAACTCAACAGGATATGGTAAAGAGAGTACAAGTTTGTATCATATACTTGCATGAGAGGGAATTCTGCCGCTGTCAGTGATGAGGATATATCTACAGATTTTGTTGATCACATGTTCTCTTGAGTATAGATTGTGCCATTGGTGAAAAAGATGAATCAAAACTCTGCATGTGATCCCATGGTTAAAGCTTGTTTTGATATTTTGGGCGAGACATACTTTTCACTGGGTGTGAAGGATCCTTTGAGAAAAGTGTTAGCAAGGTAAAGAAATTGAATAGTAAGTCTATTTTTTTAAACGTTTTCCTATGTCAGTAATCTGTCATGCACTACAAATTGTTGTAGTTTAATTACTGAAAATTTGTGGTACTAATGTGCAGTGACTGTAGGAAGCCCAGGCCCGCTGTGGCAAGAATGCTATTTGCTGATAATTTGGCAGAAGTCTGACCTGCTGGTAATATGGGATAACTTGATGTTCTGTGCCCTCAGCATGCAGGTAATGTTCGCAGCTTCCTGTGCACCTTTTATCGCTGCTCTAACTCTTGATAGCTTTGAGGAAACAGAACTTTCAGTGCCTCACAGGATTAGGCCAGGTAGGTTGGAAACTCGTTTTGTACCAAGTTGTTGCAAACCAGCCTGAGATTTTGCTTTAACATCACTTCTTTTGGTCTGCACTGAAATCCCATTTGTTTATGGTGTAAAAAAGTTCCACTATATTGGTAACTGTTCATTGGATCTGGTGTGAAGTGTATGTGTGATTCCTCTGCTGGAACTTTTTTGTCCTATTTATCTTTAAAATAAATTCATGCCATAATTGTTTTCGCTAGTTCTTCAGTTTCTCCAGAAGTCACTACTTGACATAGAGGAAGAAAACAGGCAAGTAAATTCAATATAAGCTGCATCTGTTTTTATTTCACTCATGCGAGATAATATGGTATGGTTTGGATATCAGTTTGATAGCCATACATTGATGAAAGATGAGAATGTAATTTTAGAATTATGCATATTTTAAATTTAAAAAAGCTGCTGATGAGTTTCTTTTGTGGCAGTATGATGATATAAGAAAGGCAATGAAGAAAAGTAAAGGCAGCAACATTTAAGGCACTGGTACTGTGTTAGAGCTACTACTTTTAAAGGAGGCCTTTGAGTTGTGGTTTTGCTATCTGAATTGTGACTGAACACTGTAATTAATAGACACACTTATTAAAATTCAGACAGAGTAATACTCTTCCATTTTCCATGAGTGTTTAATTCAGTATTGATATTCTCTTCAGTCTGTCACAGCAGTCATCATTTAATATCTTGACATTTTCCAGCATCGTGTAACATGAAGCCTCTTCACTGTGGCACCAGAGGAGAAGGATGCTTAATGGAGTGTTTTGTGCATTAAAAGTTTACATATTGTCTGTCTTCATGCTAGAAGACAGTTGAATCATAGAAATATGCTTTGCGCATGGAGGAACTGCTTGAAAAATGAGGAAGGAGTAGCACTGTGTTCTGTTGGTCTTTTTGGAAGGTTTCTGGAAAAGTTCAGCTCTGCTCATGCAGAATCAAATGAGTGAAAGTATGTCACAGGAACCTTCAGAAACTGTAGCAGAATTTGTCATTAAGGTTTTTTAACTTCATTTTAAAATACTGCCCTTGAGCCTGATGCTTGTTTTTCTATAGTTATGTATCTGGTCAAATCGAACAATAAATTAGTTTTTACTATTAATTCTGTCTGAAGTTGGCAGAATGTAGTTTTCTGGCAATAATGAAGAATGCTTTTCATTTCCTTTTTGTATGCATGTCTGACCTTTTTTTCTTTTCTTCTCCCCCCCCAAAAGAAACATGGAAATTGTATTGTTCAAACCCAGATGATGAACAACTTGCAGGTAGCTGTTAAAGTTTCAACTTTGCTCATACCAAAGTTACAAGAAATTATCCAGGGAAGTCTTTGGAAACACCATGAGTCTTTTATATGGCAAAGTATGTGTAGTGTACTGAAAAGCTCTACAAACTTCCTAATGGATGGTCAGTTTAGTAACATTCAAACCCAAATGTTTTTATTCAGGTCAGTCTTGTTGTCTTTGTAGTAAACACAATCTGTCTGTATAAAAACTTAGTTTAGTTTGAGTGGAAATAGAACTGCTGAGATTAATAGGAGTGAGAGCAGTAGTGGGTCTTTCAGCAAGCTGTGATTTGTAGATCATGATTTTGTAGTTACAGTTTAACTGTCCTACCAAAAAAAAATTAATTTAAATGCTGTTACTGATAAATTAGAAACAAACAGAAGTACTTCTGAGACTCACCAAATGCTGTACCTACCAAAAACTTACCTATCTGTATGAATTATGCTGTCAGAACTATTTATTGGTGCACTATAACAAATTATGTTCATTTCTTACTCAGATTTGTTTGTACAGCAGAATTTAATATAAATGTCAGTAGGCTCTGCCACAGTCCTGTTTGTCTTACTGGGCAGTTCTGTACTTCCTATCTGTTAAAAGGCATTAATAGTTTTCTATTGCACTAGAGTATAAATTCATTAGTACTTCCTTTCCAGGCGGGCGCTACAGCTTTGTGATTATACAACTACAAGTAGTCTAGGAAAATTCAGTACCATCTTTATAATTTTGATACATGGTTCTAGCATGCAGCTGCACTCTGCTACATAGCAACTCTCCAACAAACTGCTCAGACTACTGCAGGACTGGCCATTATTCTCTTTACTAAAGCTATGTATGAGCCAGTTGAAGGATTCTTTGCTAAAGACTGTGCAGTGTTGTCGTGTTATTGATCAGTGCTACCTATATGGCTCAGAGGCTTTGCTGATGCTGATAGCAGGACTTGCCAAAGTCTGTATCAATCTTTTGCTGGAGTGTAAATTCTTTATTCTTTCCTTGCCATATGGAATAATAGGAGTAGGGTTTTGAAGTTGAGAAAAACAATGTACAAAAAATCTCTTCAGATCTTCTGAGATTCTCAGTTATGCACAAAATGGCTTTTTCCCTGTGCTGAAATATGGTAATGGGTGTTTCTTTACTGTTACAGGTCAGTGGCTTGCTTCTTGGGTCAATGAAACACGCACATGTGCCATCATGGTTTGTGAGTAGCTGTGGGACTTTGTGTATGGAGGAACTCCCTGACTTGGTCTTTCTTTTTCTTTGCCATGGAGCACTGGCTATGCTGAAGTGGAAGAATGGCAGCATGGGTGAAAATGGAGAGAAACTATTGTTAGGTATCATATCAGTCTTGTTGTCCTTGAGTTCAGAGTAATCCTCTCTTTTGATTTTTAATTTTTCATGTTTGGGAGGAGGGAGTTGATCTTTTTACTTGTGTTTTTGCACAGTTCATATGGTCCCGGGGGAATCTCTCTTTGATGTTTTCAGTGTAATGCTATTAGTTTCTGCCAAATCTCATCTTTTTTTATATTTTCAGAATAACTCTCTAAGTTTGAAAAATATAATGTCTTGATATTGCATAGATTTAAGTTACAATTCTCTCTTGCATGCTAAAATGAAATTTTGTTTTTCCAACGTGAGTGGGATTAGTTTACCAACTACCTGATAGTAAGGTGTGGCAGAATCAGTTGGTATGTAAGCAGATACCTTCAACTTCAGGACATCACCTCCTATGATTTTAAAAGTACAGAAGACAAATACGTCTGCCAGTGAGTGGAATAGTTGAAGTAGGATGAAATTTGGTTTTTTTTCTGGTTGCAAACATTAACTGCTTGCATCTAATAGACTATTAGCCTGCAAATACTAATTTTTGATTTTGTTTTTAAAATAGCAAGTGTAGTGGCTTGACAGGTTTATTTTCCCCACATTTAGGGGGTTTTAGCTGTGACCAGTTAACAGCATGTCAGGTAACTAAGCGTACACTTTGCCACCTTCAGTTCATCACCCCTTCTTTTTTGTGTTAGTTCCTCTTCTCGGTGAATGGTTAATATCTCCTTATGTGTTAAAGTGTGAGGTAAACTAATGTGATGAATAATTATTTTAAAATTTAAAAAATATTTTAAAAAGCAGAAGACAAATGTAATAATGATTTTTTTTTTGTTTGTTCTTTTTAAAAGATTAAAAGAATCCATTATGACAGCATCTTTATCTAGAATCCATGCTATTTGGACTAATTCAGCACTGGCTGCCCTTATTTCAGGCTGCCCAAATCTAAGAATCAAACTTAATGGGAACTCAGACGTGATTGGGAAGCTGCTGGAATACATTTATACACACTGGGAACACCCTCTGGATGCTGTTAGACACCAAACCAAATTGATATTCAAGAATCTTCTTCAGATGCACTGAACCACCATTAATGGATCCAATGAAGAATAGGATCCTTTAATTGCAAGGCTGATAAAGCATTTACTAAGCTTGGAATGGTATGTCAAAGGGAAATACACTTCTCTTGGCTGTCTTGTGGAGCGTGTTGGCACTGAAAATATACTACAGTTGGACAGAACAATTCTGCTACATGATGATTGATCAGTCTCTTGCACCTCTAGTGATCTTTTGGAAACCCTGTTTTTATAAATCACAAAGTCCATTTTACTTTGAGATTTCAAGAAAGCACCTACTTTGACCAGTGGCATGACATCTGGGTTTCTCTTCTAGTAATATTTGTGAAGAGAACCATGACCAAACTACTTACAAGATAGATATTTACCAGAATTGCTCAAACCTAGCCCTGACAGTCTCAGCTGATTAAAATTCTTCAGATTTCTGCAGATGCTAATCTAGGTAAGAAAATAATAAATACTGTATTTGTAATTACGATTTTTAAATCTCAGAAATGTGATCTGTTATTATTGTAATTAATTTGGGAGAAAAATTCCAGATGGTTATCACTGTTAGTATTTCAGGATAAAATTCTTCATAATCGTGTGTCTTTATGCCATGAGCAAAATAATTAGTATTCTGTGGATTTATTAATAAGCTGTGGGTGCCTTCCTGTTCTCTTCACACACCAAGCTTTGTTACATACAAGCATTTTTTTCTGTTATTTTTCTGTTCTGATGATATTTCTTATACAGGCATGTCCAGGGCTTTACAGATAATTTTTTTTTTTGTTGTTCAAATATGTGGATATAAGATTTATGATTCTCATGTAGTTTTTGGCATAATTTAGTAAGGGCTTGTGAGACCTCAGAAGGTCCATTTTTTGTATGACAGGTTTTAGACAAAAGCTTTTTGGGAATTATTTAAAACTAGTTTAATCTGTGACAGACACTGTCTTTTGGGGTAAAAGATAAAGGGAAGGTAGGGGTCATGCGTTGGAAGTATCGGAAGTTTCTGACAAGCATTGCAATTAGTACATTATGTTAATCAAACTGTAATTATTACTGGTTTTCATTTTCTTTAGGCTCTCGCAGCAGTGGAGGAGCCCCTGGAACATTAATAGCATGCCTAATAACAGCCAGGGCTCATGGACACCTGTAACTTTTAAATACCATGAGCAATGGTTTCTTATCCACTGAATGTATAAGATGGCTATAGTTCTAGTTCATCAGCACAATCAGGTAAAGGGACAATGTTGGGGTTTTTTGTGTCTTTAAATTAGAAGAATTGCATTGATCCTAAATACTCTGTCAGCATTGATTTGAAACAAAGGTATCATCATAGGTGCCTGTAACTCGTTTGTGGTTAATATCTAAATATTTTTCGGGTTTGCATTAATGCTATAGGTTTACTATGTGAAACCCATTGTAGCACAGAAATTGTGTCTGTGGAAGAAATGCAACTGATTCAGTTTTTCCTGATGTACAACTTAAACAGCCAGTCTCCTTCAGTAAGGCAACAGATAGTTTCTTTACTGAGAAGGGTAATTTCAGACTGTAAACAATCTCTAATGTGCCCATTGTGTTAGTTATATAGATTTAAAAAATAAATCTGCTGAGCGTGTTGCGAAGTTGCTCGTCAGAAAGAGCAGCAGCTCTAAGACCAGGACTATGTTGTGTGTATTAACCAACTGAATAGTGATAAGTCATCACAGGCAAAGATGGCTTAAACAAAAAATTAAATGATAGGCATAGTAACTTAATCATGAATGGTAGTGTTACTTAACCTGTCAGCATATGCATACTTTACCAATAGCAAAGCAATATGCTGTAGAGTAAGCAGTGAAACACGTGTTGCCTTTGTTGCCTAAGAGTGTGCTTCTATACACTTTCCAGATTTTGGGCAAATTCACAGTCACTTGATCAGCTTCAGCAACCTGAGGATAAGGTAGAGGAATATTACGGGAACCGTGTGACTTGTGGCTGTGCTGTATTATGATCTGCACGGATTGAGTTTGTCAAATTTGTGGAAGTTGCCAATATTGCCATATAATATTGGCAATGTTGTGTGTTGATCCTGGTAGAAGATAGGGATAAAATGAGGAAACTTTTGTAATGTGTGTAAACCTTTGAAATGTGTGTAAAAATAACATTTTGGAAGATATTAATGGCAAAAGAAAGCAGTGTGGAACAGAAAACAATTTCAAACAGGAAAAAATGAGGGAATAGATTTGGCGGAAACAGAAGACAAGTCCATCTCTTTCCATTCGTGCCTAGTGTAGACTGAGGAATGAGATGGAAATGTTGTGTTAGAGGAAGTGTAATAAAAAAAGAAATAATACTAGAATAATACTAGTGGATAATAAAAGAAATGGGGAAAGCAGTTCTGAGTTGAGTCAAACTGTAAGAGAGACATTAAAGCTATAAAAATTGTATGCATTAATCGAGCTTTTTTATAGAGGAATATATGTTCCACAGGAAATGGGGAGGTGGGAGAAGAGGACTCGGCATGAATTTAGGGGAGGAAGATGGAAGAAGGTGTTGGAGAAGCAGAGGGAGCAGGAAAAGGCTGGTCACAAGAGAGATGGGGAGCAAAAAATTTGGTTTTGGAATGGAGAGAGAAGGATCTGTTCTGTGTTGCACTGTATGCAAACTTTTTTAAAATGGCAAGCAAAATGATCTGGAAAATAAGCTGAAAATTCCCCTTTGCCTTATTTAACTGTCAATGATTCTTGCCTTAACTGTGTTTTGGTATTGTTTTAACAGTTATTTTGTTGGATACAAGAAAGTTCACAGGTGCTTTATAAGTTGGAGCAAAATAAAACCAAGCAAGAGTTACTTGAAAACTCAACAAAAGGCATCCTCTGGGGATTTTGCAGCAATATAAAGCAAGTTAGACTGCTAGAGATACAGATACAAGAGGTGGGATAGCATTTCTCAGAGGTAGTTTACTGTTCTTGAAAATGCCTCTGGGATCAGTTAGACTTCGTTTGCATTAGGGAGTAGTGCAGTGCAGAAGGAAGAAAACTGTAAAGCAAAACAGTACTGAGGACCTTGTCTGCGCTGTATGCACTTACGCAAGGTAATACTGTTTTCTCATGAACTGAGACAACTGAACTAATAACCCTTTGTATTTAGAGGGTATCTTTAAGGTTAATTTCATCCAAAAGTAAAAAACGTTATTGCTTGAGTGCTTGCTCCGTGGTGTGAACTGAAACATCAGTAACCGGGGAATGACTGGAGATGTACCCCCACTCCAAACTAAAATTTTCAGGCAAATGTCTTGTCATCTGCTGGCAGTTTAGTAGCAAATTTTAAATAATGTGTGATACTTGGGTTTGAACTAGAGATCTATTGAGCTTCAGCCTTCTTCTAGCACTCCAGAATGATCAGTGAGAGAATGAATGATAGAGTTCAGTACAAAGGCTTCCATATGAAAACTTCTTTTGTATTTGTCCTTTTTTCCTATTTGAAGGCTTACATATCAGTTTCTTTGTGTTAAACTGTTTCTTGTCTTGGGTTCTGCTTTTCTTCTTCAAGAATTTTGTCAGTACTATGAACGTAGGCCTCCCATTCTTCCAAAATTAACTGTAAGGTCATAATTTTTTGGGTAACATATAAAGCAGAATGTCCTGAATTCAGTTACTTGGAGTTCTGTTTATAGGACAGTAGATAAACTGTCTTAAATTTTTTCTTGTGATTTTCAGGATTTCATGTCATCTGTGTGACAGAGTTTGTGAGGTACTGTTTCCTGGTTCATTACACCCAACCAGATTTTCTGCACTAAAGATTTAAGGAACAATAGCAGAAATATTTTCTCTTCCAGAAGGTGAGAAGACTAATTCAATGGCTGCAGGAATGGGAGGTATTGAAGAAAAATCTTTATGCCAGCTAGAAAATTTCAGTCAAAGTAAAACTGTATTCTTAGTTCTTAATTTCTATAGCCTTTCCTGTGTTGCTTTCATTTTACCTGAAGGGAGGATATTAAGTTTTTTTGGAAAAAGGACTATCAAAGTAAATGCAGGTATTTGTGGCCTGTTGAATATCTTCCATAAATCGGGATTTTCTTGCATAGCCTGTTTTTTAGCAAGGCTTTCAATGAATTTTTGTTATTATGAAGAAAACTTTTGGACAGCTTTACCCCCTTTTCCTGTTCAAACATCTTGATAATATGTAATTTAGAACGCTGAGACCATAAAAGGTCTTTATTGAAAAGGCTTCCCCATCGTATCCTCATGATACTATACTAAATAACAAACTGTTTAATTGGACAGTTTATGGTGGTGTGCTGCTGTTACTTTAAATTTTCTTCACAATGTTATAACAACCTGAATTCAAGAAGTTTTAGTTAGAGCCTTGGAGTATTGATGGTCTTGCTAAATCTTCTCTTTGGGATAACATGGCCAACATAAAAGTGTGTTTTCAGTCTTAAATTGTATCTAAGTTGATTTAGAGAGGGAATTAAAAATGCCTTCTTGGTAGATCTTTTCTCAAAACCCCTGGTAAATCCTGAACGCATTAATTTTATTATTAGGAGTTCGTGGTATGTTGATGATTTTCTAATTTTTTTTTCTTTACTAGGAAGTTTTATTGAGAGTTGTTTATAATAGAAGCTTTAGGATCCTGTGAAGGAGATTTAGCTGCTGTTGTGTTCCGTGCTGGAATGTGGTGCGCTTGTTCACATCTTAAAATTTCTGGCTTCTTTACAGCATTAGGTTAGTAACCAGAAGTCAGGACTTCTTTAAGTTTAAATTAAAAGCAAGAAATAGTGATGGCTTCCATTTAAGGGGATTATTCCTAGGACAAAAAGAACCCCAAAAAAACAATCCCCAAAACACAATGAAGTTTTAAACCTTTTTTGGGAGGAATTATTTTCTAATATTACATAATTCCAGGAAAAGAATTTTTAAGCACAGCTAAACTGAAGGTTATTTTTAGTGCTGAATTTAATGTGAATAAATGAAATTCTGGTTTTTGGCAACAAGTTACTTTCTGTATTACTGAGTGACATTTTTTGGATATGGTAACCTTTTTTCTGAACAGTAAACATGGCATTTTAAGACCTGTTAAGTAAATAATATTAAAATAATGCTTTAGCCAGAATTTAATTCTAATGGTTCTTTTAGTATTGCTAAGCAAAAAGTGAATACAGTGATTATTCTGGAAAGAATTGCAACAAAACTATGTGAGGCGTTGATTTCTTTGGACAGGCCAGGCACAAGTTTTTCAGTTTTATCAGGACATTTATTCTACTCTTGTCCAAACTTTGATCCGGTGTTTTGCCAGTACTTTTAAAGAAGTAAAAGTTCTGGCATCTGGGCTTTTGATGAAACTACATGATGTTGCATTTAATTTACAGATATGTAATGAAAAACAGTTTAAAGGGAATAATTTTGTGAAAGGTGAATGTTCTGTATTACAGCAGGTACTAGAATTAGGTAGAAAGCATAGTTCCTGAAAATGAGAGGTCAGTCCAAGTTGCCTGCAATTGTGTTCATCACTAGCATCTTGTGTATATTTTTATACAGCTTCTGCCCTTACCTAAGGAGGCTTGTTTCACTAATAGGTGAAGGTGTTTGTGAAGTTCATGCATATGACTGTGAACTATAAGAGAAGTCATTAATGTAATGCCCTTTGTAAACGATAGAGGCATTTTGATTTGGTTACTCATATTGTAACAAATTCAGTTCTGTGATTCTTTTCAGATTTGTCTCAGATCTCATTATCTTATTGTCTTTTTTTGATTTCTCCCAAATTTTTCCTGATAGTGATTTTTCTGTTTATTACTTCATAAAAAGTTACTTTTAAATTCCTAAGTACAGGTGAACAAATACTGCTTCCTGATAAACTATGCTCTTTTATGATGTCCATTAGAAGATAAGCCACAGTATTTTGAAAACAAAACAAAAAAACCCAACAAAGCACAAAACCAGAAACCAAAACCATTCTCCTGTGAAGTGCAACGTTTGAATTCTGCTTTATAAATGACTGTCCCCATCCTCAATTTATGTGTAATTGCATCAAATATTTGCATCAAATGCAAATACATGTTTTGAATGTAAGGTGATCAGTGTACAGAATAAGTGTTTCTTAAGAAATATGTAGCAGCAAACTTACTGAAAAGCAGGTTCTTAGATTCCAGGGTGCTAAGTAGCTTAATTAAATCAATATGGAAGTTCAATAAAATAAGCATTATTGTGGTTTGTTTTGTTGGGGTTTTTTTTTCCTCAGGATTCATGATTTTGAGACATGGTTGTGGTTGCCATAGATGAAGCAAATGCATGGGTAACCTCATGTCTCTTTGTTATAGAGTAGGTCCTGTTGTTATTCATCCAGTTTGTTATTTCAGTCTGTAATTGATTCTGACATTGAGATGCTGCATGGTATAAATATAAATAAAATAAATAGACACATGTACCCTTGAAAATTGATACTGGCTAGTGCAAGATTCAAATATTCAACCATAAACTTCTGATCTTTAATATTCTGCTGAACTGTTTGTTGCATTAACCTGGCTGTAAGGGTGATGTCTGACTTTCAGTATGTAGTAGGTAACTTCTTTTGACTTCATCATGAGCAGTGGGATTGTCCCTGCATATGGATTTGGGCTGTGTTTTTCACAGCTGCTGTTTAATTCAGATAGACAGACTAAATAGACTATAACAAAATTTCTGGAGGTTAGGTAACCGAAAAACAACACTAAGTTTTATTTAAATGACAAAAGAATGAAAAGTGTAAACAAGGAAATTGCTGTGCATTTCCCATGGAATTATTATGTACACATGCTTTATTCCTATCTCTCTGAAGCAGATTTGTTTCTTAGAAAATACAATATATGTATGTATAATGTAAATCTGTACTTTTAACAATTTTATTTATCAAGCTTTTCCTGTTGAGTATTGAAGAAGAAATATTTCAAGCTAAAAAGTCTCTGCTACAAGCAGCAGCATCATTCCCAACATATGGGAGAGTGCATTGTATAACTGGGGCTTTGCAGCAATTTTAAGTAAGTAAAACATGCTGCTAAATAGTAAGTCAAAACTCTTTATTTAAGCACAGTGGAAGAGCTTTATGTTTAGGAGAACATAAAAGCATACAATATTATTTGTAATTAAATCCAGTACATCTTGCTTTTAGAGCTTTTACTGGCTGCTCCACTGTTTAGCTGTTGGGTACTTCCATATAGTTATCATAAATACTGTGGCAGAAGTATCTTTAATTCCAGTTCTTTCTTTAAATATAAAAATATTTTTGATCCATGTTAACTTGAAATTGGTAGCTGAATGGAAGGAAATCGTGGCCAGGCTCATTTTGATGTCATACAAACTCTCTGCTGTAGTATCACCAGTAGTGCAAAGATCATCACCAGATGGACTTATTCCAGTGGATAGTGATCAAGGTAAACAAACAAAACCCCCAAACAATTCTCTTAAAAACTGAAACTCCTGAAGTTCTGTTTGTCTTACAGTGATTCAGAACTAGAGCTAGCACCTCTCCTCTTCAGTTTCTCTTTTTATGTCATGATTTTAAACCACTTTCTGATATCTTCTGCACTAAAAAAAACCCAAAACAACAAACATTTTCAGATTGTATTGTTTTTTTTCTGTATTCCGTTTTTACAGATGCCTATAAAATCTAGTTTTCTTTATTCCTTAATCCTCATAATCTCCACAGTTCCGGATTTTTAGTACTAATAGCTTTCTATCGTACTTTACATACCCAAAATGAATTACATTTTTATCAAAAGATGGAAGTAAAAACCCGAAGTATCTTCAATGTTCCTCTTGTTTAACGTATAGAAAGTGTAGGCTGTCTGGAGATGATTCTGCATGAGATACAACCCCAGGACATGAATAATTATTTTATGCAAGCAAAAATTTTAAAAGAACACTGCAAAGCAGAGGCTGAAAAGCTAGCTGACCACGGGCCAGTGGAAAATAGTTGCACAAAAATGAGAGGTAAAGCCAATGTTGTATTAGTAATTAAATCAATAAATAGAACAGGCATTTTATGTGGGTGATCAAAATTGGAAGTCACATGCTCCATATAATGTTACAGTTCTTCAATAAATCTGTCAGAGGCTTGTTATTCATAGGCATGGTTTTAAAGTCTAGTTCATTCTGTTTCTGGAAGATTGTGGTTAATCTCTCTTAGAGCACAAGTGAAAATGAGTTGTTTTGATATTGGCCTAGACTCTATTGCCTTAACTGCACTGGCCAGGTAATCTTTAACACCTTTTCTGTCCAACAGTGCTTTTAATGCATTTCTCCTTGAAAGGTGTTACTGTGATTTCCCTCTCCAGTTATACACAAGACTAGTGGAGAACATGTTCATGTGATAAAACTTGTTGCATGAAGTTATATAAGCAGAAGCTTCTGTCTGAAAGATTACAGTGCTAAAATGTTAGATAGTATTTGTCTGCTTTAATGAATAGCAGCTATGAAATGGAGCCTTACAGTGATAAATTGTAAACTTTGGCATATTTAGTGTATGACAGAATTATTTTATAGAATACCTGTACATTTTAAAATTTAATAGTTTATCCAAGCTTTTTAAGTTTTAAATGGATGAACTTCCTTTCCTCATGTTTTTTCCTATGTTTAAAATAGTTTTGGTTGGCCATATGTTTTGTTCCATGCAAAGGCCATAGGTATGTTGAAGTGGCACAGTAGTTACCAGATGGGGATGTAGTGTTAGAAACATGATGCCTTTGCCAGGTCTTTTCCTATGGGGGCACCTGGGTTAAAACCCAAGTAACATACAGTGAATGATGGATTGATGATTGACGTGGAGTTTATTGGAGCCTGACTCCAGAGTTGTAGGTGTTTGTATAGTTCAGTGTGCAGGTGAATGCCAGTTGTGACCAGAAGATCTCTTCTAAGTGGAATGAAGTACAGCGAGTGCCCAAGAGTGGAAGCAATTAGGGTCAGCAAAACTGAATTACCTTAGGTTAGCAAATTTAGAAAATTTTTTCATAGTTAATTGTGTTTCATAAGAGGATCAGGCTGAATGTGTTTAAATTACAAGTCTGTGTCTGAGAACCTCGAGTTACTCTATTACATTTGTTGCTTTTTGTTTTTAAGTCAAAGGGAAATCTGACGTATCACAGCTCAAATGAGTCTTGTGTGTTGCTGGAGAAGCATGAAGGAAGTGTCTCTGCTCTTAGGGACACTAAACTTTTGCCTTCACAGGCTACATCTGAACTTTCAGATGGGTTGATTACTGTAGAATAGGTAGGGAAGTAATTTTTATTGTAAAACCTTCATTTCTTGGAGTGGTGGTTGGGGGAAGGGCAGTTTTCTGAAAACTTTCTTTTCTAAAATGTACATTCTGGATGAGACTTTTTTAAAATTTATTACCATGATATTGTTGTGGCTTTCTGGTTTTATTATACTTGGTTAACAGTCTACTTTTTTATTAAGTGCTATTCAGAAGCCATAACTATGGTAGTAATATGTAAGTGAAAAAAATTATTATAGCTAATAAACTCAAAGAATATTCATTCCCATTGTATTTGGTTATTTATAGGATGTATGCTGTGCTTAGGGATACAAGTGCCTGCCTGCCTCCCCCCATTGGTATATATCAGGCAGTAGGAGAGTTGCTAAAAATCTGCTAAACTGATTTCACATTCAGAGGGCCTTCTGTTTCATTTTGAACTCTAGATGTTGGGATTTTATTTAAAGCTCTTCACTAATTGAACTTCATAATAATTAATTCTGAAAGTTACACGTGCTGACTAGGTGTAGTCTTATCCTCTGTATGAGACTGGATTTTTCCATACTTTCGTACTCAACATAACTCTTTCCTCCAATTTTTTTTTTTTTTTAAGAGATGAGAAATGCTAATATGCCATCTGCCATTAGCAGTTCTCTTGCAGAATGTTGAGTGTAGCGTTTACAAGAAATTAGATTACCACAAGCATTTATTTGGGAAATAACACAGACTTTGAAGTACTAATAACCCTTAGCACTTGTTACTTATTTGGGTAACCAGTGCAGAAGTATGGTTACCATTGCTGCTTTACAGTTTGTTCTATTCAAGGAAGCATTTAAAACAAAGTAACAAAAACCGTGAACCCACCAAAAAACAACTCTCCCCAGTTCTGAATGTAATGTCTACCTCCTCTGGAGTTCAGTATGGTTAGTTACTAGTTGTTTCTAACTGGGAGATGCTTTTGCAGTCCTTTATGGCTTTAAAGCCATCCTCTCCTAATTGTTTGAAAAAACACCCTCTAGAGTATAGGACCTTACTATAGTAGCATCTTATTGCCAGGAAAATAAGATATGGAGGCACAAATGTATCAACTGTCTCTGCAAGCAAAGTTGGTAGGGGCACCTTTACTTATTGTAAAGTTGCTGTGGATCTTTGTGATGTTGTAGAAACCGTGAGTTCCATGACTCATTGTTCATCCTGACACGTGAAATATGCTTTATGACAAAGGGAAGCTGGATGCTCATAGATGGCATGATACTGTTACATAAAAATCCAAGTCCTTATGCACTTGCCTCAGGATCACTCTATGGCATTTGTGAGAACACTTACAGCAGTGTTTTTTCTCCATACTCTAGTGTAGGAACAGAAATTACTATATGAGAGTTCAGTATGAAATAAGCTTTTAGTCAATGTGGCTGTTGCAAAAAGCTCAGAAATATAAATAGTAAAGTTGAAAGTTACATGACCTCCCCCCCCCCCCAAAAAAAAATCTATATGAATTATTCTAAAAATGTAAGGGTGGTGGTGGAACAGGACAATAATGTGATTTGCATGTGTATGGTTTTCATAGTTTGGTTTTGTTTACACACATGGAGAGTTTGTCTGTGGGTCAGTTTCTTCTGGAAAAAAGGCACTTACTCCTGCTTTTGCACTATAAAGCTGAAACCCTGTAGGTACATAAAATAGCTTAAAATCCAGTCAGAGAAATAACCGTTTGTCCTGGGTTCCAGTATATAAACTGGGGGGAGTTACCCGCAAGGCCCAGATCGCTGCTTGGGTCGGGCTGGGTATCGGTCGGCGGGTGGTGAGCGGTTGTGTCCTCTCCCCTTGTTATTCCTCTTATCATTATTATTGGTAGCAGCAGTGGTTTGTGTTATACCTTAGTTACTGGAGTGCTGTTATCTCAACCCGTGGGAGTTACATTCCTCCGATTCTCCTCCCCATCCCTCCAGGAGCGGTGGGAGGAAGAAGGGCAGGGAGTGAGCAAGCGGCTGCGTGGTTCCGAGTTACTGGCTGGGCTTAAACCACGACACTGTTTAGCTGAACTAAGTTTATCTGCAGAAAATAGTAGATGTAGTGTCCAACTTTTTTCTTTTAATTATTACAGTCATTGTTTGGCCAATATGCATTATTTTACTTACCAGTAGAGTGGAAAACCATGTAGCTAGTTATGACATGAACTTGTCTGACATCATAATTGTTTGTCAGACTATTAAAGTATGTTATTTTATAAATAATAGGATAAGCAGAATTTTATAAGAAACTTGACATGATTTTATGATTGGTTTTGTAGACAAGCTTTGAAGAAGCTTTTGCTAAAGAACTCTTAGGAAATACTACTGAAATAAAAATGGTGTAATAGAATTAAGTATGTTCTATGTGTTTTAAATTGTATTGCAACTTTGATTTTTGACTTGAAAGTTGATGAGAATTAGGGAAAAGATAAAAAAGCCTCCTTTTTTTAGAATGAGATTGTGTGGAACTGTAAGCTTCCAAACAGCTTAAAAACTTAGTTACTTTCTACAGTTCTACCAGGATACTATCAGTGAAAGTTTAATTATATCATTTTGCTTCTTGAGACTTTTAAATATAGCTCTCATTGCTACATACACACACCAGCTTTTTTATTTTAGAGTTGTTTCCAGTAGTCAAAGGCAATTTATGCAGAATCCTAGAACCTTAAAAATCGCTCCGGTAGATTTGTTTCCCTTTGGCACAGTTATTGAAGTTTGAATTTCTTACCTTTCTCAGATGTCTTTGTAGACGTTTGTTTCTGCTGTTATAATTTATTTCATGGATAGTTTCTTCAGGAATTCAGGCAAAAAAGAAGGGTTCTAAGTTTGTTCCCTCTGGAAGTCAGAGTTGCTCCACAGCGTGGCTCCAGGCAACCCCCCTCACTCCCATCTGGCTCTCTCTCCAGCAGCCCCCCTCTGCCAGCTCCTACACACATTCCACTAGCCTGGCCCCAGCTCACCTTCTGTCTCAGCTGCTGCTCTGCTCCTTCTCTGGCTCACACCAGACCCTCCGTGGCCACCCAGGCCAGGGCAGCCACCCCTTAAGAGGGAGGGCATGTCATCATCAGCCTCACTGCCCACACCAGGGGCTCCTCCGGCTGCAGCCCAGCAGGAGCAGGGGGCCATCACCTGACCCCCACTGTGCATCACCTCCCACAGGCCTTGTCACAGCCCCTCACCTGGTGCAAAAGGAGTGCAAACACAGCACTGAAGGGCAAAGGAGACAACGAGTAGTATTTATTTAGTTACGCACATAAGTTGCAGGATTGAGTGTGCTCTGGAGCTCTGGGCCTGTCCCTGGGATGCCACAGGAGTCATTCCCTGAGCTGCCTTGATTGTTCCAGCAGGGAATGGACAGTCAGGCAGCTGGATCCTGGAGCGAGGGGCTGCCAGGCAGAGGTGGAGGCTGCCAAAAATGAGGAGCGGGGAGCAGAGCACGTGGGAGAAAAGTGACAGCTGGCTGGACAGGAGGTGAAGTCAGAAAGCATGAGGCAGAGAAGGGCATGGTCAGAGAAAGAGGGAACCCAACAGAGGTGGAGAAAGAAGCAGTAAAGAGAGCTATAGAAAGAAATAGGCTCAGCACATGCTACAGAGCTGAGAAGGAATACCTTGAACAAAAGAGACAGGGATGACAAAAATACCAACAGGTGACAAGACACAGAGGGCAGAATGCAAAAATGGTGGCTGGGAATCAGATGGAGACAGACAAAGAAAAAATAGCCATGGGCTACAGGGCAGAAAGAGACAGGAGCTAAAAATTTGGAGACAGAGTCAATCAGAGCGAGCTGAGAAGAGAGTCCCAGGAAGAAGGAAAAAGTACTGCAGCAGTGTGGGAAGTGGGGGCATGGAAGAGGGACAGGGACTCACTGTGGCTCTCAGCACTGCCTGGACAATTTGACAGGTCAGACACTTCTTTCTCCCTCCCTCTTCCCTTCCTCTTCTGGAACTTGGATCACCAGACTGACCTCCACCTAAGAGAAAACATGGGTGTCTTACAGCTCTTACAAGGAAAAGGTTCCTAGACAAGCAGCCTCACTGGCTCACCCACTGTGCTCATTAGTAGGACAGAAGGAAAGACAGTGAAAATGATGAGCAGGGAGCAGAAAGGATGGATCAAGAGAAAGAGAGAGGAATAAGGAAGGGGAGGGAGAGAACAAAGAAGTAGAGAAAAAAATTGATGGAATGCAGGATGACAAAAAAGGCTGGGGAGCAGGACAGGGGAATAACTGGTCAGTGAGATAGGTCAGAGAACGTAGTGAGAAACAACAGGATCGGCAGTGGATAAAGTTAGGAAGTGGGTGGAGGATGGAGAAATAAGAGAAAAAGGAAAGGGACCAGGGAAGAGATGGAGAGAGGAACATCAGGGACAGGGAGAGTGGTGGGACCAAGGCAGAGATGCAGAGAAAGGGTGGAAAAAACCATGACATGTAGCAGGCCAGAGGGATGACAACGTGCAGGAGGAAGGACAGAGGGATACAGAAACAGGTGAGGGACAGGTAGCCAAAAAACAGAATGCTGTTGGAGAGACAGGGATGTGGTTGAGGATGCTGGGATAGAAAACTGATGAGAGCAAAGGAGACAATGACAGAGCGATGGAACGTGACCAAAAAATACCCCCAGGGACAGAGAGATGAAGCAGTAAGTATTAGGGCCAGGGAGCAGAACAGAGACAGAGAGGGTGGGGCAGTTAAGACAACAAAGAATTAGAGAAAGAAAGGAGAGGGAACAGCACAGAGGGTCACAGAAAAAATATGATGATGGAGAAAGGCTGATAAGCAGAGAGAAAAAAGTGGAGGGAAAAGAACAGAGATGGAGATAACAAAGACTGGAGGCAGAACAAAGGGAAAGACTGACAAGTGATGGGTTGGGACTCACCACAGCTCTTCCCAGTGCTGGAGGAATTTGACAGTTCAGTTGCTTCTTTCTCCTTGTCTCCTCCCTTCCTCATTCATAGTTCAGGTTGCTGGGCTGTCCTCCACCTACACAAGTGTCTCACAGCTCTT